TCACTACTTTATTTTATTCCTTTGATTAAACATGTTAAATAAAAGCTTATTTTTAAAAAAATATTTTTTTTACATTACTTTATTTTCTAATTTTTAGTCCATTTATAAAAGCGTTGTATATTAAATAGTTTTATTTTATTTTATGTACAAAATTTTGCAATAGATATTAAAATAATTCAACTTGCAATGAAAGAGAACAGAAGACTATGCAAGCAAAATGTTGTTTGCTTACGTTTTGTATAAACATACATATGTACATACATACATATAGCAGCAGTTAATTTCATTTAAAGAAATGGCGTGTCGTCCACTTCCGCTGTCATGGCATATATTTAGGCGCAATATTAAAGTTCTTCTGGCGGGGAAACTTCTCGAGTCTTCTAATTGTATCTCCTTGATATGATGCCTACAACGAGGTTCATATCTAGACTAGGTTGATATCTAGAATTTGCCATAAATAGCTTTGCTCTGGTTTTACGTTCTTTGGCAAATTACGCTCTGTTAGCCATAAATTTTACTAATTTTTGACCGCCTTTGAATCAAGACCCCTGGACCATATAGGGAATTCATTTATATTTTAAATTGCATTGTCATCGTGATTGGAACTATGCTGAAAATTTCAAGTCTCTAACTTGTCGGGAAGTTAATTTAAAATCGATTGGAAATTTCCACAATTTGCGCGGGATGACCAAGTTAAATAAAAGCTTATAATTATTTGCGAATGACTGAGACCCAATTTAATTTCCTGCTTTCATTCATTAAGGAAGATTTAAGAAAGCAAGATACCATAATGCGGTCCGCAATTTCTCCAGCTGAAAAACTGTCTTTGACACTGCGGTTTCTTGCTACAAGTAAACTTCAATACAAACTTATATATGCAATGAAATATGTATGTAAAAAATTTGTAGCATTAAAACTTGCGTAGCCAGGAATGGAATGAGGCTAAAAGCACTTACTTTTACAGGGGAAACATTTCAAAGCTTGAATTTTCATTCGAAAATATCAAAGCCTGCTATTAGTGGCATAATTCCGGATGTATGTGACGCTATTTGGGCTAGACTGAAAGGCATATATTTGAAGGTAAACATTTTTAGTTCGTACTTTTTATGAACTTGTACGAAATTCTACTTTTTTAGTTTCCAAACAGCTCTTCGTAGTGGGAGTCCATAGGAAATGAATTTGCTATACGATGGCAATTTCCAAATTGATTAGGCGCATTAGATGGGAAACATATAACCTTCAGGTCGTTGCGAAAAGATTGAGCATTTTACCACAACTATAAAGGTACAAACAGCATTGTTTTATTGGCACTTGTAGAGATGATGCGAGAGTTTTTTTGCAAAGCAAACTTTCCATGGTTTTACGTGAAGAGAGGGGCTTGCCAAAAAATGCCACAATTGGAAATAACCGCTGCCTGCCATATGTTATTGTTAGCGATGATGCTTTCCCGCTGCAGACACACATAATGAAGCCGTACCCCTATCATTCCAACTCTCGCAAAAAGCAAGTCTTCAACTCACGGCTTTCTCGCGCCAGGCACGTCGTAGAGCATTCTTTCGGAATTCTCTCGAACAGGTTCCGAGTTTTTCTTGCTCCAATTAATTTAAAAGTTGAATCGGTGCAAAAAATTACCCTAGCTTGCTGTGTTTTGCACAATTATTTAATAGAAACCAACACTACAAGAAACGTAAACTACTCTCCAGCCGAAGGGTCTGCTATTGCTTCAGCCAGTTCTTACAATCCCCGTAGAGCTGGGCCGGAAGCTATCCGTCAAGAATTTATGGCGTATTTCAACAACGAGGGGAGAGTAGACTGGTGATATAAATAAATAAATCTCTTTTTAGGCAAAAGCCAAAATGTATTTATTTTCAAAATATTAAATAAAAATAGTACATAATTCATTACGTTGCAGCACAACAAAAATACGTTCTTTAATTTAGATATATGTGTGAATGTAGATACAGTCAATATAAAAAGTTAAGGTACACGGGTTTTCGTTGTTTGAATTTCACAAACAAAACCTTGTACTTCAATGGTTTCATTAAAGAGCTTTTTCCTAAACTACACTTACACATAACTTATATAATAATAATTCAGTCTTTCGTAAAAAAAAAAAATCATCACAAATTTTGTACATTAAAAAGAAATAAATAAAATAAAAATAAAAATACACATTCCAGGTACTTCTTCTATTTCACAGCACTAATTGTTATAAGGAGTTGTAAAAATAAAGAGATAAACATTTTTGATTTGCTTTTATAGAACGGACATCCATATTACTTACAGTCATTCAAAATCAGTTTTATAAAAGACTCCACTCATTGCATCTTGAAGCAGGTCACACGAAACAGGTTGCGAAGATGAGGCGTTCTTGCACCAGTCTTCGCATAAGGCATTGAACCTCCCACGCAGCGTCGTCTTGCTGTTCGGGAATTATCTCCTCCATTTGGGTTGCTACCAAGTTACCCAGCCAAGAAAATGGCTTCGTGCGTTTTTCGCAGATTCTGTCTTTGAATGAGGCCAAATCCTTCGGTAACCTGTACAGTGCACCGTCCTTAAAAAAATAACTTAATAGTATCTCAAAACATGCAACAGTGTCTAAAGTATTTAAACTTTAAACAGTAATAAAATTAACTGGAGATTATCCACACCTTTGCCCGTTTCTTCTGTGGCTCTTTGCTAGCGCCACTGCTACTCGCTTCAGTGCTCTATAAACAAAGATGAAATTAAATTGTATATACATTTTTTTTGTTACGTATGCTTTATTTACTTACTATATCAATAAATTCACTTAAAGTCGTTTGTGGGCTTAGTGGGGAAGAATGAGAAATACTCGATGGGGCTCCTGGGCTAAACTGGGAAAAGTTTGAGACATCAGACGAGGTGCCTCCTGGGCTTTCGGGCGGAGGGGTAACATCCTTAAAAGTAAAACACGTATTTTTTAATAAACATGAGAAACAAAATTCAAATGTTATCTCAAAATTACTCTGTCCGCTCCTTATTTGTGTGTGGGCTTCAAGAAATTGTAATTGTGTATAACACCACAATTTTGGTGTGTACATACGCAGAGTCCTGAACCACTTTTTTTAGAAGCCGGCAACTCTCGCATCTCTCTCAAAAACTGTGTCCTCAAATTTTTCCACTTTTTCTTCACTTCTATTACGTCTAATTGCGGCATTTCCAAATCTTCGCAGATTTTATCAAACGCTTGGGCTTTGGCGTTGCGGTCTAAATAACCTGCACACTTTAGATGCATTCATACTGCTGCACCAAATTTATCAGATTTTCAATCTCCGCTTGAGTCCATTTGATTTTTTCTGCCATGGCTGCGCTAAATAAGCAAAGAAGCAAATTAACATACATATGTAAATACGAAAATTTATTTAAAAACTTTAGTTCTCAACTCACCTTTTACTTATAATCACAAATTTTATCAGAGTTTGTAAGTGCCGGGTAAACGAAGCGTACAGAAATTTGCGAATATGATATCAACGGAAATGTCAGAAAATTGCCTGCTCAGAGTTGCTCTGTGTGAAAGCGATGGGCAACACAAAAAGAGAAATTGACGAAAATGAGCAACAAAAGTTTCTCCGTCTGAACCTAGACTTATGAAAAAAAAACCCTTAAGCGGACGCGAAGCTCCAACAAGCGGCCAGTTTTGTTTTTTTTTCAGTCAGATGTTGACTTTTGCGCTTCTACATATCGCCACCTGAAATGCAAAATAACGTAACATCATCGTCACTGAAATGCAAAAAGTCGTAACTTATAAAAAATTCAAAATTCACTTTTTGATTGCTATGATGGATTTCTTCAAATTACAACTCCCCACATCGTTTTATGAAAAAAAAAAATAGTCACGACTTTTTCCATATCAGTGGCGATGATGTTACGTTATTTTACATTTCAGGTGACGATATGTATATGTACACAAGAACATAGTCCATATTCAAAGATATTTTCTTTTCTAGAAACAGTGTTGCCTTTTCGTTGCCCTCGTCTTGCTGCCTGAGCGAAGCGGGCAATGAGATTTGTCGGTAGGAAAGAAAACGCCATAAATTTGAATTTATTCTTTAATCATCCTGTTTCTGTCTATAGAAGAATAAATATTTTTTTAATTTAGAAACCCGCCGTTTCAGTTTTTTATATTTGAGTTTTAATTTTATTTCTTACGAAATTCCCATAAGCGGTCATCTCTCATAGGCGGACAAAATGTAGGTGACCGTCGGTGGATAATAGAAAAATGCATAGAAAAAAACGCTTGCATTGCCACATTAGTTACAAAAATTTCGGGCTAATTATCATGCATCTAACGCTGAAGATTTTCAGGTGGATATTGCCTATACCGCTATTGCTTAATATTTTGCTCGATCTCCGGAAAAGATTGCCGAAAGATATATTAAACATTTTTGGAATATAATGCGCTAGATGTAAAAAATAAT